ATCTTATCTTATCTTATCTTATCTTATCTTATCTTATCTTATCTTATCTTATCTTATCTTATCTTATCTTATCTTATCTTATCTTATCTTATCTTATACAGCCTTGCTTCTGGTTTGGTTTCTGTGGCCATGGTGTAAATGCCTGATAACTGAAAGCTCTACCATTCTAGTTTTAGAAACTCTAGGAACCATAAGTAAACCTGCAGTCTGAGAGTGAAGTGCTCTGTTAGTAAAATACACAAGAATAAGGAAGATGGAGTTTGGTTGTTGATAGATTTGTGGTCTGGGTTTGAGTTTTGTTGTTTACTTCAGGTTCTTCCATTTCTAACAGTGTGACCGACCGTCGAGTTAAATCCAACATACACTCAACGTTTCCTCCGTTTGACRCGACCTGACGCAGCGATGCTAAAACCATCAAGCGTCTGCGGAGAAAAACGAACCGTCTGTCAAGTTGTTGTGATCGCTCACTAGAAGAGTGACACGTGTGATTAAGTCGAGATGTGTCAGCGCAGACTGAAATTAATGGAACAAATTCCTTCCTGTAATTCAGATGAAACCTTGTGTCAGTCATAACCTCGCCTCTTTTAATTACGTTCAAGTGATTTATTCTCCGATGGAGGCGAAGGAGATTAATCCGTGTCTGGCATCACAAACTCGTGCACAAGTACAGTAGACGGAGTTCGTTTTTCTTAATTGTTTCTATCGTTTTTTTAAAATTAGCAAAATAAGGAAAAAATGTGCAACAATTATACAACACAAAATCAATTCTTTACAATTCATCTTAGATATAAACTTAGAAAACAACATTTGAACTTCACCTCATTAGTAAATGAAAATGAGGACAAAGGACAACAGAGCTGCTTCRTGGAAAGAGAACTTCAGCTTTAGCCTTTTAGCTTTGTCATTAGCTTCCAAGCTACTGTATATAGGCCAATATCTGGTGTTATTAGCTCGGCAGCTAATGCCACATATATATGAGTGATTTATAAACTAGCACATAAACTGAAAGGTTAATTTGTGTTTGGTAGATTATTTCTTTGTTGTAACAATGCATCTTGGCATTAAATCTTACACCAGGCACCTGACTGGCAGCACCTGGGGGTACCAGAAGCTCAAAACAAGTGGCAATAACAACAACAAAATAAGCTGTAAAGATTTAAATGTTTTTTCATGTACGCAACCCACATACTCAGCTCTGCTGCTCACCCAACACTTTCTCACTCCCAACTCATAAACATATTGACACTTGGTCAGGTAGCCATCTGCGTCCAGCGTCGGACGCGTCGGGTACCCCCCTCGCATCCATTCTTAACGAGACGTGACGGAGGAGGACGAGCGCATTGTCATATTTTTGAAAAGAGAGGGAAATGCACAACAACTAACTGTCCCAGACCCTAAATTTTATTTATTTTAGCCATATACAGCCTATCCCCGACCTCAGTACCTAAAATTAACCCTGATCCCTCATATTAACCTCAGACCCCCAACCCAAAGACCCCTAAGTGGCRCAACTCGGAAAAGCCATGGGTGGCAAAGATGGACGCGAGGAGGGTACCCGATGCGTTAAATCTGGACTCAGACGGTCCCTGACCAAGTGTCAATATGTTGACGAGTCGGGAGAGAGAACGTGTTGGCTCATCCCACAAATGCATGTTCCTTACAAATGTGGCATCATTGGGATATTAACAGGCTTTCCAACATTCCAAGATTTATTGCCAAGAAGTATTGTTACTTATCAGGCATGAGAGGCACCTAAAATAAAATAAATTTACCCCAGAAAGTAGTTCCTCCCAATAAACTATGTAAATCGTTTTTTTTTACTTAGCATGTTGTTTATTGTTTTGTTCTGTTTGTCAAGTATTTAGACAAATTAAAATAAAATTAGAAATGTTTTTTTTATTGATGTATTGTCAGTTTTTAACTTGTTTACATTTATAGGGCRGTACAGGCCGATGCCCTGCGTTTGTCAGGGGATTTATCAGTTTAATATATTTAATATATGCTCCTGTCGGCAGTAATCAGTACTATCAGCTCCTCCAAATAGTCTCATTGGGGTGTTAATAATTATGCCCTACAGAAACTTTATGCTGGTGTTTGTGCATTGATATGAACAGCTAGATCTAATGTAAGCTCATATAATGCAAGAGTGGCTTTCAGCAAAACTTGTGTGCAACAGAGGAGAGATATTCTGTTTAAAAGATGTGTGGAGCAGCCTGACCTGAACAGAGCACTAAAAACAGGAGAACAAAGGAGAAAAACAGGACTGTTTCATCAAGAAGGTACGACCATCCATCCATCCATCCATCCATCCATCCATCCATCCATCCATCCATCCATCCATCCATCCATCCATCCATCCATCCATCCATCCATCCATCCATCCATCCATCCATCCATCCATCCATTTTCTGTACACGCTTCTTCCTTTTCAGGGTTGCAAGGGTCACTGGTTCCCATATCCAGCAGTCAGAGTGCGAGGGGCGGGGTACACCCTGGACAGGTCACAAGTCCATCACAGGGTCACACATAAAGAAAAACGAGACAAACAAGCATTCACTCTCTCACTCACACCTAGGGACAATTTAGAGTTATCAATTAACCTGACAGTCATGTTTTTGGTCTGTGGGAGGAAGCCGGAGTACCCGGAGAGAACCCACGCATGCACAGAGAGAACATACAAACTCTACCCGGAAAGGTCCCCGGACCGGGTTTTGAACCGGTGACCTTCTTGCTGAGAGGCATCAGCTCTACCAACTGAGCCACCGTGCCGYGAAGGTAGGACCATTTCAARCTAATCTGTGGCAACTGAATTACTCTGCTGTCTGTGCTAACATAGAGCTGAGTCATGAAATTATCTGTCTGTGACGTTTGAGCCTTGTTTAAGGCCTTGGAGTTAAGATACATAGTTCACTGTTTGTTTGTTTTTTACTTTATATTTAGAATTAATTTACAGGATGTCTTCCTCCTCCTCCCCACATTTACCACACATGTCAWCTTGTACAGATTGTCTGTAAGTTATAAGGATTTTACRTCATTTTGCAGGTATACGGACRTATAGAGCAATCTCAYGGACTTTTTCAAGTCTT